TGGCTGGCTGAAGTCACAGCGGTACAAGTACAGTATATATGCAATTCCATTGTTTGCATGAATAACGGGACTTGTGCACTGTTCTGAAGGCCAATGGTCTGAGTTTGGGGCAGTGTGTAAGTCCCAGTTTGCATGCAAACAATGGAATTGGCATACATGCAGTCCCCGGGTTATGAACAAGATAGGCACTGTAGGCTTGTTAAGTTGAATTTGTATGCAAGTTGGAACAGATACATTTTTTTTGAGTGTAACTCCAGCCAAAAATGTTTTTTGTTTTGGTTAACATAGGTCAGGGTTTACCCCCTGTAAAGTTTGTTTTGCAGTGTGTGTGCCCCTGTTCAGAAGATTTCACCTCACTTTCTGTCCATGTGACAATTAGATTTTGAAAATGTTGGGTTGTTGTGGAAACAAAGATTGGTGATAAAGCTTCAGTGGAGACATCTTTTTCCCTTACAGGAGTGAATTTCACTTCCTTGGGGTAGATTTCCTTTCACTTCCTTGGGGTAGATTTCCTTTCACTTCCTGTTGTCTCAAGGACAGGAAGTGAGATTAAATCTTTCTAATGAGGATACAAACAGCAGTAAAAACCTCACGGTGAACCGGAAGAAGAGGTGGGAGCCAACTTCCTGTAATGTACTACAAACCAGACCCAAAAAGGCGGGCAGTCCTCGTCTGCACGAGTGCGGTAGCATTACAACTACCCCTGCTGTACAGCAATAGCCTCCGTTTGTAAGTAGGAGTCGTATGTAACTCGGGGACTGCCTGTATATACCTGTACCACTGTGACTTCAGGGATTTGTGTACATACCAGCACAGTCACAGCTTCAAGCAGGCAGCCTGTAGAGATCAATGGCAGGCTCTCTGCTTGTGGCTGTGTGGCACACCTGCAATTCCCAGGGAAATGGCTGTATGCTGTACAGACATTTATGATTGTGTGCATGAGGCCTAATAAAATGCATTTATCGAACTTTGATTTCTTTTCAATTTGTTGGAGAGTGACCCACTTAGAAATTGTGGTATTCATTGTATCACATTTCCTTCATTGCAAAATAAGTTCCAATGGGTCATCTTTTAAATATTAGGTGTGTCCATACATCATGGTAGTAGCATTGTACTTGGAATGCTTTTCTAAGGCAGTCATATATGAGAATGATCATGTTTTCTGAGTCATCATCACTCAGATGTAAATATGATCGAGAAGCTTGCTGGATAACATTGTGAGTAAAGCCACAGCCACAACAAAGCTGAATAACTCTAAAACCTTTTTCCCAAAGCTCATTGCTTTGTGTTCAAAAATAACCATTTTGAAAGTCCTTAAACTTCTCTGTGGTTGAGTCTCTGCTTGTATATTTTTATGTACTTTATCTTCATGAAATAGTGGACGACTCGGCAGCTATAGAAGTCTTAGATCTACAGTATACAGATGAACTTGGAGAATATTTCTCTATACAGGGCCAAGGTTGTATACCATCTGTTGTGAAACTACAAGTCTCATGAGGCATTGCAAGTCTGACAGCCACAGGCATGACTTCCAGAAGCAGAGGGATAAAGCATGGGATTTGTAATTTTACCACAGCTGGAGTGCCAAGATTGCCTACCCCTGCTCTATATGTGCCAGATTTTGTAAGTTTATCCATATGTTCACATTTAGTTGGTATATTAAATCTGCCTGTTACGCTATGAGTTATGAAATGTAAATATTTAGTGTAGCGCTCACCCCCTAAGGAGCCGCTGGAATAACCGAGTCATCACTAGTCTGTCTAGGGGATTTGATCTTCAGCTGCCCCATTTAGCATTTAACTGCCCTTCCAGTGCCCAAAAAGCTGATGTCCACCCCAGTATTGTAATTCTGAATACCTTTTATTAAACATCTTCACACTGGGGAGAGATGGTATAGGGATCTTAGACATCCAGGGTGTAACAGACAGACTCCAGACTCACCAGACCTGGTTAGCATCTCAGTATAGATCAATTTGTGGTACAGTGAATAGTAATTGGAGCATTAGATGAGCAGGGATGAGGTATAAATCAGTAGGAGAGACATCAGCCATGCTCCTGAGGTCTTCTGGATTCGGTGTACCTTCAACAGCCCTCCCATCTTCCTGATTCTCCATCTGCCAACAATTCGGGTCTCCTCTGTAATTGAGGCCCAGGGAAACATTGCCCACACACCAGCCTCTACCAACCCCCAGGCATCAGGCCTAGCATGGGGGGTGGCTGGACAGCACCCAGCCCCAATCCATGGCTGGCCCCGACTAGTCTAACCACATGGCCATTCCCACCAGTATATGTAACCTATCCCAGCATGCATCACTGGTTAAGAGAAACCCAGTGATTGGCTGCTGTACTGTACATACACTTAGTGTCCCTCATTTGCTGTCCCACAATATAGCCGTGCACACTCCACCCAGGGGGTTACAGTCAATGCCAGACACCTTGAATTACCTAAATGCCAACTATAATCCAGCCAGGCTGAATACAGCCCTGGCAATCACTAAATGTCTAGTAGCCACCTCACAAAAGGTGATGGGGGGGGGG